TCTACAATCACCCAAAGCTAGATAAAGAAGAAATAGAACACCTAAACAGACCAATTACAATTAGCGAAATTGAAATGGTAATCAAAAACCTCCCCAAAAACAAAAGCCCAGGACCTGATGGATTTACAAATGAATTCTACCAAACATTCAGAGACGAATTAGTGCCTATCCTTCACAAACTCTTCCAAAAAATTGAGAAGGAAGGGACAATACCAAACACGTTCTATGAAGCCAACATTACACTAATACCAAAACCGAACAAGGACAACACAAAAAAGGAAAACTACAGGCCAATCTCCCTAATGAACACTGATGCAAAAATCCTCAATAAAATTTTAGCTATCAGAATCCAACAATGTATCCATAAGATAATTCACCACGACCAAGTTGGATTCATTCCAGGGGCACAAGGATGGTTTAACATCCGAAAATCAATCAACGTTATCCAACACATCAACAAAAAGAAATATAAAAACCATATGATAATATCAATAGATGCTGAGAAAGCTTTCGACAAAGTGCAACACCCATTCATGATAAAAGCCCTTGAAGTTCTTGGGATACAAGGAACATACCTCAACATCATAAAGGCCATCTATGACAAGCCAACAGCCAGTATCATTCTCAATGGTGAAAAGCTGAAAGCAATTCCATTAAGATCTGGAACAAGACAAGGATGTCCACTCTCACCATTGCTTTTCAATATAATACTGGAAGTCCTAGCCAGGGCAATAAGACAAGAGAAAGACATCCAAGGAATCCAAATAGGAAAAGAAGAAGTCAAACTATCACTATTTGCAGACGATATGATATTATACATAGAGAACCCCAAAAACTCCACAGAAAAGCTAATTCAACTCATCAATCAGTTCAGTAAAGTGGCAGGATACAAAATCAACACGCAAAAGTCAGTAGCCTTCCTATACACAAACAATAAATCTGAAGAAGAAGAAATCGAAAAGACCATCCCTTTTGTTATTGAAACAAAAAAAATCAAATATTTGGGAATAAATCTAACAAAAGAGGTAAAGGACCTATACAAAGAAAACTATAAAACACTGTTAAAAGAAATAGAAGAAGACACAAAGAAATGGAGAGACATCCCCTGCTCATGGATTGGAAGAATAAACATTATTAAAATGGCCATCCTTCCAAAAGCAATATACAGATTCAATGCTATTCCAATCAAAATTTCAATGTCATTCTTCAAAGAAATAGAAAAATTATTGATGAAATTCATATGGAATCACAAAAAACCCCGAATAGCCAAAGCTCTCCTGAAAAAAAAAGAAGGGAATGGAGGCATCAGACTCCCAGACTTCAAACTATACTACAAAGCCATAATCATCAAAACTGCATGGTATTGGAACAAGAACAGACATACAGACCAATGGAATCGAATAGAAAATCCAGAAATAAACCCACAGATTTATGGTCAACTAATCTTTGACAAAGGAGCAAAGACTATGCATTGGAGCAAAGAAAGTTTGTTCAATAAATGGTGCTGGGAAAACTGGGTCGCTACATGCAAAAGAATGAAGCTTGACCACCACCTCACACCATACACAAAAATCAACTCAAAATGGATTAAAGAACTAGACATAAGACCTGAAACCATAAAATATATAGAAGGAAATATAGGCGAAACACTACGTGATTTGCACATCAAAGACATCTTTACAGACACATCACCCAAAGCAGTGATAGTGAAGGCAAAGATAAACAGCTGGGACTATATCAAATTAAAGAGCTTTTGCACAGCAAAAGAGACAATAACAAAAACAAAGAGAAACCCCACCAACTGGGAGAACATTTTTGCACCCAACACTAATGATAAAGGACTGATCACAAAAATCTGCAAAGAGCTGATGAGACTCAACAACAACAAAGAAAATAATCCAGTCAAAAAATGGGCAGAAGAGCTTAAAAGAAACTTCTCTGAAGAGGAAATGCAAATGGCCAACAGGCATATGAAAAAATGTTCAACATCACTTGTCATCAGGGAAATGCAAATCAAAACTACCATGAGATACCATCTTACACCAGTGAGAATGGCACATATTAAAAAAACTAGCAACAACAAATGTTGGCGAGGGTGTGGAGAAAAAGGAACTCTTCTGCACTGTTGGTGGGAGTGCAAACTGGTCCAACCACTGTGGAAAGCTGTGTGGAGATTTCTGGACCTACTAAACATAGAGCTTCCATATGACCCAGCAATTCCACTCCTAGGTATTTACCCAAAGGACACAGAAACATCAATTCCAAAGAACACCTGCACCCCTATGTTTATAGCAGCACTGTTTACAATAGCTAAGCTTTGGAAACAACCCAAATGCCCAAAAATAGATGACTGGATCAAGAAGATGTGGTACATATATACCATGGAATATTACTCAGCATTCAAAAAAGATAAACACATGCAATTTGCTGCAACATGGATGGCGCTGGAAGGGATCATGCTCAGCGAAATAAGCCAAAAAGAAAAAGAAAAATACCGGATGGTCTCACTCATAGCAGGAATCTAGAAAACTTAAATAATGGACCAGGAAAATGAAAAACTATAAGAAAGTGAAAATCAAAATCAACAAAAAACTATGAACCAGAGACACTTTTAGGGGGGCGGGGGCGGGAGGGGAGGGATTGGGGTCAGAATGGGGGGCGGCAATTGTATGGGGAATATAACAATAAAATTTATAAAAAAAAAAAAAAAAAAAAAAAAAAAAAAAAAAAAAAAAAAGAATGTAAGGTCTGCTCAGAGAGCCCTTCCGCCTCCATAATGCTTCAGGAAACATTTAAAGAATGAGAACAGTACCTGGTGACTGAGTAGGCTGGTGGGGAATGGGAGGTGGAGAGGAGTTGAGGATTATTTTCTTTGGAGTGTTGATTTAGAAATCCATCCCTAGATTTCTCACTACAATCAGGACTGCAGTCAGTTCTTACCCAGCCTGGATCTCACTGTGGTTCTCAGCAATCTCTTTATAGAGCTTGATGATTCTGTGTCCCTCTTTGTAAGATAAAGGGTTCAGGTGAGTAAAGATGGATATACTTAGCCATAAGAAAAAATAAATACCTAATTTTAGACAGATTAGCAGTCATGATGTTAGTAATAAAAATAACAACCACAGTAATAACCAATTCACCCCAAACCACCAAAGACCAAGACAGAGTGGTTAACACTACCTTGGAAAGTCATCCTCAGTTGTTTCTTTTTCCTCCAACTAGCTACTTCTGTCTTTGTTTTTTCAGACTCCTTAGATGCGGCAGCCTCCAAGTGCAGAATTCCAAAACGTTGAATTGTATTGATTCCTCCCAACACTGGCACAGAGTATAAGGAATTGAGAATGCTGCTAATCCTAGAGAAACAGATGGGCAGTTTTAATCACAAACATTCACGTACAACCCAAATGCTGCAGTTCGGAACAAGATATGGAAATATATCTCAGTCCCTTTTTGTGTCCTTCCATTCTAATGAGGTAACTTGCCAAGGCCAGGGAAGAAAGAATCCTCTGGGTTGAAAGATGAAAAAAAAAAAAAATGGCTGGGAGAATTATGTCATCTGTGGAATGAAAAATTGCAGTGTTTCCAAGGTTTGCAAAGTTGATCCGAGTTAATGGTACCCTCTTTTTGACATTGTAAGACGTCATACAGTTCATTTTTGGGCTATCTACTACAAGATTGAACAAAAAGGGGTGGTGGGATCATTTCCCAAACCATGTCACAGGATTCCAAACCTGGGCTATCACACTTGAAAAGGACCTCAGAGGTCACATTAACCATAAAACAAAATGTTAGAGCCGAAGGCACTTTATCAAAATTTAATCCAACAACCAAAATTTCAAAACAAAATTGAACAAAGTGATTCACATTAAGGAATAGAAAAGGAAATAGAGACCTGGAAATAAAAAGGTTAAAAAAAACAACAATGCTATTACTGGATTTAGAAATTATGAGATAAAGGTTTGGAAAATACAGTGGTGGGTTTTTTTTTGTTTTTGTTTTTTAATAAATGGGAAGCTTCATATCAGTTATTAAAAGTGGCCCAGAATTTCAGTCAGACTTTAATCCTTTGCACACAAAAAATTGAAATATCGGTATTACAGATTTGATACAATTATATTTTTATGCAATTTCTCTGGAATGACACAGGAAGGTGCTAAAGGTGTCACTGACGATTTAACTCTGCTATATAAATGTAATAAAGTAGGTGTATAGATACTGCTTGACACTTCTGAACGGGTGTGCATTTTTTGAATAAATGCCATGATATGTTTAGTATTCTGGCATCGACTTGTTGAGTTGTAAACAGATTAAGTGTCAAAGATATAGCCAACACCGCCCTAAATAAGCTAGTTTAGAATGGAAGGGTTTCCCCAAGACCAGGCCATTTTGGAGAGTTCCCGAGATTTGCCTTGTTTTTCCTTTTCAAGACTTACACATCATTCTACTTAATTTCTGTCCATGTTTTCTGTCTTTAAAGTTATGCAAAGTCCACTTGCCCCTTTATCACAACACAGTGAACAGAAATTACCTGGAGACCATCTCCCACGCGTCTAAGACAAACTGGGGCGCGGGATGGAGAAAAGCTGGGACCAGGACGCGATCTTAGGGCTCCGCCCAAGCACCCCACTAGCAACTCCAGGAGGGCGGTTTCCAAGTACCTGTCCTCAAGCCGCTGCGTCAGGGCTTTTGTCAAAAATACTGATTCCTGAGCCCAGCCCTAGACTTACTGAGCCGAAACGCCCTGGGATGGTACCTACAAAGCCGCCCTTTAAAGCCAGGGCCCGCCCCGCAGGGAACGCACAGGTGGGACGCGCAGGCTCCTCCCATTCGGCACTTGCCCCGCCCCGTCCCTGGCTTCGCCCCGCCCCCCGCCCGCCCTCCGCGGAGCGTCACGCCCAGGCCCCGCCTTCCGCCCTTGCGCTCTCGCGCGGCCTCGCGGCCTTTTCCCGTAATGCCCCGCGGCCGGCCGCCGTGGTTGCTAGGCAACGCGCGGTCCCTGCCGCCGGCCGCGCGGGGTTGGGCTGGACCATGGGACCCCGAGGCGTCCCGCCGCTGCTGCTGGTGCTCCTGGATTGCTGGGCCTCTGTGAGCGCCCGGGCCGGGGCCACTCCGGCGGTGACGACGGAGGGCCCGAGCTCTACGGAAGCGGTCCCGATGACTCCACGACCCTCCTTGTCGTCTGCGCCCCCGGGGGCCCCCGAGACTCCCAAACCTTCCTCCGGTCCCAGGCCCACCCCGGTCACGGACGGTGGGTACCAAGTGCCAACGCCCGGGGGTCCACAGGAATCCAACCTGGAGGGTGGCGCGGCGAGGATAAATAATAATGATAGTTAACGTTTGCTGAACACGGAGGCATTAGTTGCAAAGGCATTTTCACCCTCTCTGCGGCCCTGGGAGGCAGGCGTTCTTATTCCCTTCTGCAGATGAGAAAGTCGAGGCGTAAGTGGGATCAGTCTGTGAACGTCCTTGCAGTTGGCCTAAATAGCATTAATGCCAAAGGTAATAATGGAGGAATCCTTGCAGCTTTGCATCCCGAGTCGAAATTACATCAAAACTTTGTACAGATATGGGAATTAAACGCTTAGGATGCATTGGCCTTTTCAAAAGAGACGCCAGAAGCCTAGCTTATTAAATGTGACTAGGTCAAAGCCATTGTTTACTTAGATCATTAACACCCAGAATTCCTCCTGTGCAGAGTGGGAGGTGGGAAGTTCTGGGGTACAGGGGTTATGCCCACTTCTTAGTATTCATCATTAGAGATAATCAACATATTTCCCAGAAAGTGCTCTTACTACTGGAGTTACACATCCAGCGAATCTTTTACAACCTAATTTAATTTGGATGACTTCAGGGATGTCTGTGACTCTGAGACTGAAGGCACGATTTTGTATTTATTCATTTTTCCAGGATGAGGGTTCATAGACACAAATAGTTTCTCAAGAGTTTGTGATCTCAAAAAAAATTTTTATGCTGTGTGATCTCAACAGGTATGAAGTATTTTCCCTCACTTAAGAGAGTAAGATATTAAGTTGAGTAAGGCTTAGAATTAATAAATAGAAAACTCATCGCTGACCGACAACCTTAACTCTAGGACTTCAGTTACTGAGCCAATATTTCTTCAAAAAATTTTATAATTTCGGGCCTCCCCGGTGGCGCAGCGGTTGAGCGCTGGGTTGCGAAGCTGCCCGCGGCCTCTGCAGCGCCGGTTCAATCCCCGGCTGCTCCCCGGCCACTGGAGGAGGGTCCCACATGGCGCGCAGACCTCTCCTGCCGCCCGCTGCTCCCCTCGGCAGTGTACTTCGGTCCTTCTGCCTGCTCTGCTCCCCGCTCTGGCTCTGGTGAGTTCTCTCACCCTCCCGTGCTTCTGACTGTACCCAGTGCATGTATAAACAAACAAACAAATAAATAAATAACATGCCTCTATTAAAAAAAAAAAATTATAATTTCTTGGGCCTCCATGGTGGCGCAGCGGTTGAGCGCTGGGTTGCAAAGCTGCCCGCAGCCTCTGCAGCGCCGGTTCGATCACCGGCTGCTCCCCGGCCGCCGGAGGAGGGTCCCACATGGCGCGCAGACCTCTCCTGCCGCCCGCTGCTCCCCTCAGTAGTGTACCTTGGTCCTTCTGCCTGCTCTGCTCCCCGCTCTGGCTCTGGTGAATTCTCTCACCCTTCTGCGCTTCTGACTGTACCCAGTGCTTGTATAAATAAATAAATAAATCTTTTTAAAAAATTATAATTTCTTTATAAATTATGAGTCATTTGTAAGAAAACATACACAAAAATATATTTGTTATTTCAATATATGTAATCAAAAGTTTTATATTGAAACTTGATGAATGAGTAGGAAAGTTAAATCAGTGATTAATTGAAACATAGAACAAACTACTCAATGCCTGAAATTCCCGAAGGTTTTTGGATCTGATTGTTTCTCATCTATGTAAGTATTTATCTGTTAATGCACTGTCTCCCCAAATGAAGCTGTTCTTGAAACATCATTATTAGGGCACGTGGTTTGGGGGATGTATTTGCACTTATCTTCATATTTTGAAGGGGCCCTCTTTAGACCTGTGAAAACAGTGATAACAAACAGTGAAAACAGTGATAACAAACAGCACTGGCATTTCCTAACTGCTTACTGTCTGATAGGCACTGTGGCATATCTCAGTTAATTCTCATAACAACCCTATGATTGAGTTATTCTCATTTTCAGGTAGGTGAGTTATTTGCCTGATTTTAGGTCACCCTTGGTACCTGCTGGAGCAGCGGGCTGACTAAGCATGGAGGAATGGTCAGACATTTGTAGCCTGGGTTACAGGTGGAAGAGAAGAGTCATACCTTTCATCCTGAATCTGAGATGTGTTCATGAGTACCCTGGCCACAAGCCAGGCATGTACATACGAAGAGGCGGAAAGAGCAGCTGACTGCTGCCTAGACCCTTCGAGTTCTTAGCCCACACTTGCAGGTTGATTAAGTATACTCATCCCAGAGCGAGACCTTTTCATTCAAGTGGAGTTATTAAATGCTACAGCTTTTTCCTTAGTAGTCTTATAGTTACCTACAAAAGTTTTAAGCTTTGAAAAACAGATCAGGATCGTAATTTTAAAACACATGGCAGGGAGCCTGTACACTGTTTTTTTTTTTTCTTTTTCTTTTTTCTTATATTGGTGTGTTCCGAGTTGTGTTATCATTTTACTAAGTACATAGAGTAGCCCTTGGCTCGAGAGAAGTGTTGAACTTACGGGGGAAACTTCTGTATCCCATGGTAAGAATTTAGTATTTATTCAAAAAGTCATTCCCGTTTCCTTATACTTTTCTAGAGTATGTTAACTGTACTTTTTTTGAGCTACAGTTCAGTGAAGTAACTCAGACATATAAATAAGAATATTGTATGGACTCTACCAGCATTAGCTTGAGATTTTTGAAATCTAAGTTGTGTATTAGGTAAGCATTTTACAGACGTTTCTTATTAGCAGTCACAGTGGGGCTGGAGAGTGTGGGCCCTCACAGCTCCACTGTGTGTGGGGGCTGGTTTGGTGATCCCCTGGGTGTCAGTATTTCTCCTGATGGCTTTATAGAATGGATCTGAGGGTAACCTCAGAATTTGCACACAGAATCTTCATCAACCCAGTAAGAACTCAAGACTCTGAGAGTCCCAGAGTGGCCTCTAGCTCACGCCTCTGAGCCAACGGTAGCAGGTTAACACCACGATGAACAGGCTGCAGAGGTTGTACCCCTAAAAACTCAATGTTTGGGCCACTATGGTGCCCACGAATCCCATGTAATCCCCACCTTAACCAGTTTGTATCTTGCCAAATAACACATGAAGATGGGTTCAACATCAAAATTGATGTTTACGCCCTAGGAGGGGGACCAAGCTTGAGAACCTCGGTTCTTTGTGGCCTCAGGGGGCCCTTCCCCTCTGTCAGAATCTGCAGAGAAAGGGTCTGGGTCTGGGCAATATTAAAACAGTGGATCTTAAGGCCGGAGAGGTGATTTAGTGTGCTTGCACTTAAGCCTGTCTTAATTATTAGCATCAACTGGAACGATCTCACAAACTCTTAAGTCTAGTCCATAGCCAGCTCACCCCGTCAGTCCTTGTAGGTAGAGCACAAACAACTCTCCAAGTGAGCCATGCTTAGCTGCTGTAGAGAATCTGGGATTGAGGGGTGTTCAAACCCACTCATTTTCATTTCGCACATTTTCCCCAAAGTGCAGTAGGAAAAATAAAATGGACCTTTTGCATGGAATGGGTTTTTGGTACATTGCTGTGACAGGGGACAGTCACTACCTGCTGACCATGACCCCTGCTTGTTTCTGTAGTTGCTGCTCTGTGTGTCTGTGACTTGTCTCCAGCACAGTGTGATGTCAACTGCTGTTGTGATCCTGACTGCAGCGCCAGCGACTTCAGTGTCTTTTCTGCCTGCTCAGTTCCAGTTGTCACGTAAGTTTATGACAAACGCGGTTTTGATGAAGAGTATAATGAAATCTGTGTTCAGAGCTTGCATTACATTTCACTCTGCTCTGTAAACAGGTATTGTGTCACATTTTGATATCAGCGAGTTAGTCTCATGGATAGTGAGGGTGAAAGTGCAGTTTACTTTTATAGCTTTTGTTAGGGATATAGAACTTGTAACAAAAATTAAATAGGGAGGCTTTGTTTATGCTTTTCTGGTATGTAAATAATAGGGATCCCCACAGTTCACATTGTAAAGCAGAATAATGGAAAATGGCATTGTCAGTGGATCACAAGGTGAAGGAATAATCTCCTCTGAATGATCTGTTTCTAGTAATTAAGATTCAAAGCTTTTTGGAAAAATAGAAGCACTTATTTGGAGATAGCTGATTTAAATTCAGACTTATTGAGTTGAAGCAATTGATACTTAATAGCTTGAATGTTCTTTGGAAGTACAATGTGGTTTTCCCATGAGAAACTATTTTACTGACCGCTGGGAAGTTAGAATCTCCTTCTTATGTAAAAATGCTCAGAATAGGGTATTACAGGCTATAATATAATAGGCTGCGTGCACTGCTTTGTAGCTCAGCCTTGTTTGAAAATCATTCTGCCTTAGTAAGTACCAGGAGCCTGCGGATGAGGTTCCTTATTCTTGAACTCGTTGTTGAGAATGTTATTTTTTTGAATTAACCAATACTGTTGTTTTATCTTTTCCCCACCACAGCCCTTTCACCCCCTCCCTTTTAGCCTCAAAATCTCACTTTGTTCATTATTGTTCACTAGCTTTTATAAATATTTTTGTCCAATTGTCTGCTGCCATTATTTGCCTTTGTCATTCTGACTTGCTTTATCGCATATAATTCTCTCAAACTTGTTCCATATTGCTGTAAATGGCAGCATTTTGTCTTCCTTGTGGCTGAATATTACCCATAGTGTGCATAGACCACATCTTCTTGCTCCAGTTCTTTATCAGTGGGTACTTAGGCTATTTCCATGTGTCTAACTATTGTAAATAATGCTGCAGTGAACATTGTAGAGCGCACAGTTTTTGAATTGATGGTTTCATGTTCTTTGGAGAGATGCCCAACAGTGGGATTGCTGAGTCCTATGGTATTTCCATTTTTTGTTTTTAAAGATAAATCCAGGGCTCTGTGGTGGCA